ATTCAGCTGCTCAAGGCCCAGTGTCGGCGAGCTGCAGGCCCAGAACACGCGCGCGGCGTGCGCCGACATGGGCAAGCTCGGCAAGGGCATCACGGGGCTCCGCCGCCAGGACTCGGGCTGGAGCACAAAGTCGGCGGGTGTCCGGGCGCCCGAGAAGGTACCGCAGGCCGCTGCCTCGTCGTAGCCTCGTTGTCGGTCGCTCCTTGATTATGAGAGGGGGAAGCGGGCCAGTAAGTGATGGTGACTTTGGGATGAACAACGCGGCGTTGGAAAGGCATGGCGTTTTGGGGACTGCAGCGATGACTGAGATTTCTCGTCATGATAGTCGTCTTTTGATATCGTAGCTTGACGGCCACAATTGAACACTTGGCTACACTATTCATCACCAGCCTGACTGGACGGGAAAGTACCCATCTGTCAGAGCGGATATGCATGGTACACCCCGCCGGGCAGTGAATCTCGTGATCTTCCAAGGATAGGCCAGTCTTGCGACCAAGAAGAGAGATCAGGGGCGTGACCTGCCGTTGCCGAAAGGCCTCGTAGAATCTGAGCATGAAGAGCAGACTAGACTCCTGTTGATCATGCTCCTCCGCGCCGGAGCACACACGCTTTCAATGCGTTCGTTCCTCGAGCCATCGGTACTAAGAAGCTTCCGGATCGCCCGGGTCAGGCCTGACGAATGGGACGACCAGCTATTCAAAAAGACTTCTGAGCGGAGCAGATGTCTTGGTATTTCACGGTGCATCAATACGTTGAATGCTACGCCGACTACATGCCCAGCGAAGCTTCACTCTGCTTTTCGACATTGACCGCGTCCCAGGATCCTGCCATTCGATAACGAGCAGTAGCACCAAAAAAAAAATCAACCGCTCTATAAAGGTGTAGAGAGTGTTGTGCATCAACACCGAGGAAAATGAAAAGGCGCTGAGACTAGGAGTACACACCAAAGACGAGGGAAGTGGGCGAGCGGTTCACGGATTCCTTCGGAGTATACATCCCTACACGCTTTCTCTCTTGTTTTTCTGTCTCTCGTTTTTACATCACCCCAATCGTGCGCACCATCTGTCGCGACAGGCTTCGCAGGTATCGATCCTGGCGGGCACGCCATGCCGGAGCACGAAGGCGTGCCTCGAACCCGCAAGACCGGCCGTTGCCTGTTCCGGCTCCACTTGGTTTGTGAGGTCATGAGCCCCCACGCCAACCCGTTTCGGTTACGAGACGAGGTGGCCGAGTGGTTGAAGGCGCAACTTTTAAGCCAATTCCTGATTGCACAGTTGTATCGTGAGATATCTTGGGTTCGAATCCCAATCTCGTCATCACAATCCTTTTTTGCTTTTTGCCTGGTCTGCCTCGCATCGCGTGACGAGCGAGGCCTGCTCTTCATTTTGGTCGAGCACACTGACCTGACATTCAACATGCAAATTGCGACAGGTGCGCCGAAGAGAACACTGCACCGCCCAACCAGCCCAGACTGGATGTCTACCGTTTGTCTAGCAAGCACCCATGTACCGCGAATCGTCTACCCCAGCAACTCCCGAATCATGCCGTGCACCGCCTTGTCCGATGCCACCCCCTTGAGATCCGCCATCAGCGCCTTGAGCTTCTCAGCCTCCCCGCCCTGCCTGGCGACGACCGCGCTCGCGGCCACCAGAACCCGGATGCAGACGGCGTAGGCATCCGGCATGCCCGTCCACCCGAGCGGCCCATCCCGTTCCTTCTCGACGTGCTCCTTCAGCGCCTTCAATCCGTCAGCGGCCCATCCCCCCAGCGCAGCGTCGTCGACGCCGGCAGGGAGGCTCTCGTAGGCCCCCGCCCACCGCTGCGCCTCGCGCACCTCGTCGATGTACTGGTTCTGCTCCTCGACGGCGAACAGCGCGTCGTCAAAGTGTAGCGCCGTCGCGAGCTGCTGGGCCGCCGAGGACGTGCTCGTCAAGCGCTGCGCGACGGCGGCATGGTAGGCGGGCAGCTGGCTGTAGGACGAGTGCAGTAGCTGCAGGAGGGAGTCGGCTGCGCGAAGCGGGAGCAGAGTTTGGCTGGCTAAAACAGGACGCGAGGCGAGAGCGGCGAGGGCGCGGACTTCCTCGTCGTCGTCATTGAGGGCGTCGTAGAGGGCGAGGAGCACGGGCATGCAGGCGGGCTCCGAAGAGGGGCACGCAGAAAGATACGACTTGAGGGATTGAGTCGCTGCGAAGCGCGTATCGAACGGCTGCATCATTAGCTGTGGTGCACGGCTTGCAAAACATCGGATACACATACCTGGTCTTCATGGCCTGCAGCAGAAATCATGGCTGTCCAGTTCTGGAGAGTATCGAGAGCATGACCTTGGGCGTCTGCGGCCTGACGGAGTGCTGACGTCGCCACGATGGAACCACTGAGACGGATGACGGCGTTGGAGAGGCCGGGGTTCATCGACTTGGCGAGAGTCTCGTTCCAGAGGGCCGTCAGGCTAGCATCTGACGGAATCAAGTCCAGACGCTTTTGCTCCAGAAGGTCATCAATCGTATCGGCGAGGTTTTCCAGGGCTACGATGCGCGGTTCCGGAGCCTCGGCCTGGGCGCCCACGCCCAGATACACGTTGCACAGCTCGCCGCCCAATTCGGGACTCGTGATGGCCTGAAACACGACCGGGATGGCCTCCAACATGTCGACCGCGGCCTCTGGCTTGCTCGATGCTGTGTCGATGGCCTTAAGCGTCAGGAAAGCCACGTCACGGCTCGACGCTGCTTGGTAGACGTCCTGGACCGCAATCTGGCCGCTTAATAAGGCACTGTGAGCATAGCTTGCAAAAGCGCCTTCTGCTGCAACCTCGGCTGGCGTGGTGGCGGTCCCAGATGCAAAGGCAGAGATGACGTTCAGGATCTCAGCATATGTTGCGTGTGCCTCGGGGCATCGGAGGAAGATCTCGGGAGCCTCTTTGTAGAGGTCGAGGACCAAGTCCAACAACGGAGAAGTGTCCCCTGATGCGTGTCAGACCACCTGAAGAAGAAAGAGAGAACCTGGATATGGACTTACTCTGCGCCAGCCTCTGGCAAAACATTTGCCAGCTTCTCGAAGACGTATTTGATGGTGAGCAGCACACCGTGCAACCTGTTGGCCTGCGTCAACACCCGTTGCCTTTCAGACCCATCCACAAGCTCCTGTATGGATTGCAGCCAGCCGTCATGCAGCAGAAAAGAGCATAGAGCACGAGCTGTCATCTCCCGAACGTGCCACACCGGACTGCCCAGGTATTCAGTGACAAGGCCATACAGCTCTGCGCGCAAGTCCTCAGGAGGTCCAGCTCGGCGGATAATGTCCAGCGCCGGGAACACAGACTCGGCGGCAATGGTGCCGGTGCTAGGCTTCATGACTTCCTGTCCGGAACGCAGAAGGTTGAGTAGCACGACTGGGATGATAGGGTACTTGTGATAATGAACTCGAGAGGCCTTTCCGTCCCAGCCGGCCTCGATAAGAGTCTTGCTTTCGTTTGTGCCAAAGAGGTTGTCAATCAGGCTCCTGAGAAGGAGGAGACCGCTGTTCCGTATCGCCCATCTGCTCGCTCGCTTTAGTGTTGGTCACTTTGCTTGGGCCTGGGTACTTACACTTCGGCTTTGAGGCAGCCAGCTGCGAGCTCGAGACACTCGGGGATGTGCCGTTCCACCTTGCCCATTTGTGCAAGGTGAGCGCTTTTGAAAATGTCCTTTAAGCAGTTAAGAGCATGGACCTGGGGTAGGTTGGAGCCGTCAGTCTTGGTGACGCGCGCCTCGCGCTGCGCAACTTCCGTCAAGTCTGCGATCACGCGATCGAAAGACGGGGATTCAGCATCGGCGGACAGGATGCCAGTGATCATGGAAGGGATACCGGCCGACCGGCGAGTCGTCGACGCATGGGTGAGGATACACTCCTGGCTTCCCTATATCCTTGTCAGCAATTGACCTAGCATATGAGATCAGCAAACCGACCCTATACCAGACGTCCAGCAGCGTCTCGCCTTCAGGCACCCAGTCAGGCTTTCCTCCGGAATATTGCACAAGTTGGCAGCACGTGGCAAAAGTCAGAGACACCGTTGAGAAGGCACCTCTGTGTCGCAAGTTCGTCAATTGATCGAAGGTCAACTGTCCAAAGGCAGAAAATGTGGAGACAGATGGACGCAAATCGCCCTCTCTCGCTTTGCTTTTCAGTGACACGATCATCGCCCGCATGAGATTGCTGTGTCATGTCAGCCAGTCAGGTTCTTGAAAGGCTTATTAGGGACAAACCTGGACTCGTGGATGGCACGGAAGCTGTAGCTCAAGAGATCTTTGGTATCGAGGCCCTCAATGTCCTCCAGCTCCTGCGGTAGATGACCTCCGGCGAGTCATCGCAAAGGACGTATGCCACAGTCGCCCAGATGCGCTGGCAGGCTTTTACCAGACGAAACTGTAGGTGATCCAGAGCCTTCATTTCAGGCTCGGTGTAGGTGGCTTCACAAAGGCTCTGCCAAACGAAACTGATGTCGTTAGCTATTTGCAATGGTAAGGTTGAATGGAGTCGTACCGGAGAGACGCGAAATAGCCGTAGATAGGGGCTTCAAGAACGGCTTTGCCAAGATCAATCTCTGCCAGAGAGAGCTTGCCCTCCAACAGATCCACGAGCGAAGCTACCACGAGGAGTCGCTCCTCTTGTTGGCCGTGGATTCGACTCAGGAGCTCGTACGAGCGAGCAAGGCCGTCAGAGTGGTCAGCCCTCGCGGTGCGACGTGTGATATCTTCGGCTCGTCCGAGGAATTCGGTGACGGTCCTTATATGACCCAGGGGGCTGATGGTGTCCTTGAAACGAGGCTCGGTAAAGAAGACCATCAGAATCTCGTTACTGATAGCCCTCACATCTTCAAAGGCGTCCATGACCAGGTCAAAAAGTATACGTGTCCACGTGGTGTCAAATGTGCTGAAGAATGGAACCTCCTCCTCATTGGATTCCCAGACTTTCGAGTCATCCAGCTCTATGCGGATGATGAAGAGTGTGGCGCGGAGGATAGAGAAGTGGCGCTGATACGAAGCTGTCGGAATGAGCTCTGACTTGAGGAATCGCAAGAACCACGCGACGAAATCCTTGTGCTGAGCCAAGACGTTCTCGATCCTTTCCTTTGGCCACGTCATTGCCTCCTCGGCAGACGTGCCAACCTTGATTTTGTTTGCCTTTGGCGTTGTTTTTGATGGCGCTGTGTCGACCCGATGAAGCGCCTTTTGAAGGAGAGGGATGGCGCCTCGTGCGCGCCGGTACATGGCCTTGACTTTGCTCAGAAGCTCCATGCGGAATCTAGCGCTGGGATCGGAGAAGTGGTGAGGGAGGTGCGTCTGCAAGAGACGGAGTGAGGGCTCAAAGAACGGCCTAGTTGTTGAGTTTGAAGATATGATGAGCGATAACGCCAGCGATCGAACTTCAGACGATGGGTGGGACAACACGCTGTGAAGCATAGCTTCTTCGAGAACGACTGCAGACTTGGTTTCCGAGGGGACGCCACCTGTTGATGTCAGCATGAGGCCTGGAAGATAGAGTGAAGGAAGCAGTACCAGGTTCATCCACGATTCCGACCTTCTTTCCAATTTCCAAGGCATTGAACCTCAGCAAAGCCTGGACATTGACCTCCTCATCATCGTCTTCACTCGTCACCGAAACCGGATCCAGCTCTTTCATAATCTCCAGGAACCGCAGAGACCCGGCGCGGTCCTGCTTAAATACAGGGAGGAAGACATAGTTTTTGACGCTATCCAGCAACATGGGTGCCCTCGTTAGAGCTTCCTGAAGCCATTCGAGCCATACTTGGACGGTGAACTGTTGGCCGATCTCGCCCTTTGACTTTTGCAGGGCTTGGTAGAGCGTCACGACCAGCTTGCCCGCGTTGGCGCGCATAGTGATCATGCGATGGAATAGCTGTGCAAATATTGCCCGCCATAGATCCAGATCTGATGGCCAGACAGTTTGTGCGTGTACTCTGCGGTAGCTCTGTCCAATTTCCTCGACAGAGAAGAGCCTCTTGGAGGTAAACTGATCCAGGGCCTTCATGGACGACTTGACCAGAGGTCTCGAGGAATTGGGTCCGACGATGGATACCAGGGTATCCAAGATGTTCAACTTGACTGCAGATCCTATCGTTGAATCGTGGTTCTGGTTGATGAGACTTGGGAGGAGGTCCAACACAAGCCTCAGGTGTCTATGCGCCTCCACCTCGTTCCACTCGATGAAGAAATTGAAGAGCTTCAAGCTCATCTCTTCTGTGTAGGCCCATTGCTGAATCTCAGGAAGCTTAGACTTTGTGCACTGAGCCACAAAACCACAGAGCTTGACGCACGAGTTGCCGGATGTCGCTTTCAGCTGGGAGGACTTGGCCAAGAGGTCATCAAATATGCTCTGAGCGGTGCTGTGATGAGATTAGTGTAAGGGTTCATTGAGTGAAGTTAGATTTCTTACGGTATGCGAACATCATCGGGTTGTCCCTCCACCCATTTTACTAGGTCTTGCGTGTTGATGAAATTCTCATGAATTGGGCGCTCCAGCGTGGCATCCATGGTGGGCGAAAATCTTGCCGCTTACACGTGAATTTGGCGTGCAAGTTCGCAGATGGGGGGAATTCAGCTCAGCCAGACAGACATGAGGAACAGATCTATTGCGAGATCCGGCCCTTTCTGTACAGAGATATTTCCCAGTTCTTCAGGTCAGCAATCGAGTGCTCAAAGGGTGTTCCAAAAATCCATAGGCCTTCCCATCTCGGCCTGGGTCGCGAATTCTCCTGCTGTTCCACCAGGCGCTGGCGGTCATGGAGGGGCAGAGGAGGGGCAGCAATGCACGGACCGTTTCGGCTGGATGACTCAGCCACACGCACCACAGGCAAGGCAGAGGGTCGAAAATTGCGGTGCCGTGTCAAAACCCACTGGAATTTTTCGGCCCCTCTTGATCTTCCTCTCCTCCTCAACCCAACGACACATCCGTGCTACCAGTTACTGGGAGATATCGCCAAGATGTCGAGTGAGTGCTCTTGCAATTTCTTAGCATCAATGAACACGACTGACAACCCGACGCAGAGATCACGGTTGCCAACGTCCGCACGCAGATCGGCGAGCTCCTCGAGTACTCGACCGAGACCAAGAAGCGCAACTTCCTCGAGTCCGTCGAGCTCCAGATCGGTCTCAAGAACTATGACCCTCAGCGTGACAAGCGTTTCTCCGGCACCGTCCGCCTGCCCGTGGTCCCCCGCCCCGGCATGACTCTGTGCATTCTCGGTGACCAGCACGACATCGATCGTGCCAAGCACGGTGGCATTGACGCCATGTCCGCCGACGATCTGAAGAAGCTGAACAAGAACAAGAAGCTCATCAAGAAGCTCGCGCGCAAGTACGATGCCTTCGTCGCTTCCGACTCTCTGATCAAGCAGATCCCCCGTCTTCTCGGCCCCGGTCTGTCCAAGGGTATGTTTGCACTCATGGGCTCCCCGCTCACTGCCTCTGCCTTGATCCCTCCAGACTGACCATTTCCACAGCCGGCAAGTTCCCCACCCCCGTCTCGCACGCCGACAACCTGTCCGACAAGATCACCGAGGTCAAGTCCACCATCAAGTTCCAGCTGAAGAAGGTTCTATGCATGGGTGTCGCCGTCGGCAACGTCGGCATGACCGAGGAGCAGCTCGTCGCCAACATCATGCTGGCCATCAACTACCTCGTCTCCCTGCTGAAGAAGGGCTGGCAGAACGTTGGAAGCCTTACCATCAAGGCTTCCATGTCTCCTCCCAAGCGCCTGTACTAAGCGCATTCTCGACTGGACGGTCCCGGAGTTAGTACTAGGTTAAAACTTGGGAAGGCCGAGAAGGACGGTCCGGAGACGGAATGCACTGAGGGTCAGAAGCTCTGCATGTGGGAAGGGTGCTCATCAATACCAAATCATTCCCACAACTCTCATTCGATGCCTGCCGCGTGATGTCTCGTCCGACTATGAAATTGTGCTGCAAGTGCTGTCCTGTTGATGGAATAATGCAATCTCTCTGCTCAATCGATATGGGCCAACCAACAGGTCGGCACCCGTTCCCCGTGGACACAAGGGGCGACGGGGACGTTTTGCCGCAATCAGATACTGGCTGATCATGGCCCAATCTGTCAGGTGTCTGAATCAAAGATGTTCATACAACATGGTCAAAGAGCCGACATTGGATCTGCAACGGCACTGACACAACGTGCCTCGCAACACGACCGACGCTGCAACGTCGTAGTCAGACATTCTGACCAATGCTGCCATCTCGATGGAGGATACGATTTGGTGCGTGCCTCGCATCGACAGGCGTTTTCGTAAAAAAAGAACCTACATTCAGCTCGGTGACTTTCTTCTCAAGCGCATCGGTCCGCGGGTGGCCCACGACGACTCAAGCTAAGTCTGTCTAGGTCCGTTGGTGGTGAAGTTCGACCTCGACCAGACTGCTGGGTAGACTTTGTACCCCCCCTTGTCTAAATCTACAGACCAACAGCAGAACATCTGCTTCTTATCCAGAGTAGGATCCGACAACAACCCAGGACCTCTTGTGTAGATCGCTTGGCCTGTCTGGCTCAACTGCCGCCCGGCACCATTTACGCGGACGATTGGCTAACTGCAAATGGCCGCTTACACCTGTCGGCCGTTTATGAGGCGCGGGCATCAAGTAGGGATAGACGAACTTGGAAGTGTTCGCGAGCCTGGAGCCTCTCATGACGACTGCGCGCCTAGCCAAAACCCCAGCCAGGGGCCTGTAGGTAGCAATGGAGAGACGGGCCGAGAAGCAACCTTGATTGCCTTGCGTTTCCCCATGTTGACTTTGCTTCTCGAGAAAGGCTCATGCAGCCCCGGAAGAAGCACACACATGCGCGGGCGCGGGCGCACACTCCCCCCTTCCCAGGACCGAGATCCGCGAATCTACGAGGCGCAACAGCCCCCCAATGACAATGCTTCCATCGGTTCCGATTCGGTAACGGCCGTGTTGGCCGGTGCGACTGGCGTTGAACTACGTTTGCCATCGTCAGCCTGCTCAGCCTGACTGATCATCGGCGCCAGCAATGCCGTCTCATGATGTTTGACTTTGTTGGTGACTGCCGGGGTGCTTTGACGTCTGGTTGAATGAGCATCACAGACATGGAGACGCGGGGGGAATGCTCATCATCAGAAGGATCTCCTCCCTACAGAGCTCCTCTAGGAGGGGAGGCGCTAGGCTTGGACGCTTCGAGAAGAGACCCCGAGACATCGGGCGACCCTCCCCTCCCCTTTTCCTGTCGCGAGAATTGCGTGTCAGTGTTGGTCTCAGCGTCGGCGACAGTGTCTACACATGAGCGAGGCCCGTAGTCTCTCCACGTACTAACCAACCATGCACCGATGGCGAGGGGACGGACGTGCATCAACTTCAAAGGGTAAACCCCATGGCCAGAAGTTGCCTCAATGGGCGGGTGAGGAGCTGAGAGGGGAAAGGGTCTCCATCTGCTTTGGCACTGGCCGGTGGCATTCGGCCCATCTACGGCGCCTCTCCCGTCCATTTTTTTTTCTTACCCCTTCGCCCTGCCCTCGTTTCCCCTTCCTTTCCTCCACTTTTGCACAAGCATGTGCTGTGTCTGTATACCCATCTGTCGAATTGTCTGTCCGCCAATTTCTGATCGTGGAATCGAAGTCCGCCAATTATCCGCCGGTTTCCCATGGCTCCAAACACTGCCACGCCTCCCCAGTCGGCTGGCCTCTCTCTCTGCCTAAATCCTTGGTTAGCGGCCACCCCACCCCTATCTGCTTGTTCAGTAGGCTTGTAGCGTTGGAACGTCGCAGGCGCTGCTGCTGATCTTCGCATCCCCTACCACCCCCCACGACCCATTCACAGACGCCCCAACCACTGACGGGTAACTTGGATCGGCTCGATGCCAGGATCCCTGAA